ACTCATGACTCAGAACATTGTTGTAAGCTGCTTTGTATTTTTGATAAGATATTTCTAAATTTGATGGAATTTTGAGAATTTTCTTTTTAAGTGGAGGTCACATTCGTTTTCCAACAAAGCTGTTGTGCTTTTAGTGTTTCTTTTTCTCCCACTGCAGATCTTTYTGAATGGTGTTGTGGAAAAAGCAGAATGTTTTGTCATAATTATTGGCACGACAGATGACATTCGTGGCTCAGGTGGTAAAACTGGTTGCTCATTAATCACAAGGTAATGCTTCAATCGCAGGTCTGTCAATTTGTCAAAGTGCCTTGAGGTAAAAAAAACTGAACCTCAACAGGCAGCTTTTAGAACAGCTCTGCAACAAYGAATGTGAGAGGGAAGTTACTGTTTGGATTTTTAAAACTTTAGTTATTTTTTATTCTTGCACTCAGAAATAGGTTTAAAAWGTTTTAGTTTTGMAAARTCAAAGCACCTCGTTTGGTCCAATCTGCACCCGTTTAAAAAACGGCACTTGCTCATCATTTACTTCACAAGTTTGTATAAACTCTAGTGTTGCAAAAAGCAAACAACTAAGCCAGTTCAGGATTGTGTGTTATTTCAAGTATAAAAATGTCTTTTGCAAAATTCATTACACTCTGTTATAAATGAACTAAAACAAGTAATTTAATTAATWAGTGGGAGTTATTCTAAAACAAAACCACTGAGACTTTTCAGGGAGCAGGGCACGGTGCGTTACACACCTACACAACCTCGAGGTGTTCCTCTTCTCAGAGTGTGTGCTTCCCACCGACAAACTAGCGCAGCTGTAAAAAGCTTTCATTACTCACCCACACTGCCGCCTTTGTTCTGCCGTGTCACTCATTAGTGACCAATGTGCCTTTAATGTTTACTGGTGCACGTTTTTCATTGCCATCAACAACAACACCAGAGGCTCCGCAGAGAAGGAATATGGGATGTGAAAGGTGGTGACTCATGAGTGGGATGGAGGTAAATGAGGGACCCCCGTGTGCAGGTCTCAGAAAATCAGCCATTCGAGGGGCTGAAATGGGCGTTTACGAACAGCTGAAGTGTTTTGGACAACAAGCAAAAAAACGAGCCGTGACATTCGTGTACAGTCTGACAAGGAGGTAAATGTGTGGATTTCAAAGGAGATATACTGTATTATGCTTTGAAACTGCAAAGTTATGGTCTGAATTCCTTCTTATTGTAACTCCACAAGCCCCTCTTTCACCCTTTTTCTGGGGGTGTGTCTCAGATCAACTCATTTTGAGTCTGTCTCTTTAAATCCAAACAAAGAGCTTCACATCCTGTCTCCCTTCCAGCTTCCAGAGTGATCCAATCTACTTTGATAGAGAGATTTATGAGACTAAGTTCAACTTTTCTGAGACTCCAGGTTAACAGCAAAATGCAATTAATGGCTAAAAAAGTGGATTTTGCGTGATATGTCTAACTATGGTGATCCATCGGTCCTATTCTCCTGTTCATGGCTCACCACCAAAAGTTGAGGTTGTTTGTRACATCTTGGATGGATTTTAATGAAAGTGTCCTGATGCATCGCAGTAATCCAGGTAGAAAAAATCAAAAAGAAAAAAAATAAGTAGGTCCTCAGGATGGGTTCTTCTTTAGTGAAACGTTTCATCTCTCGTCCAAGAGACCTTCTTGGACGAGACCTTCTGGTGAGTTTCAGGTGAACTCAGCCTTGTAAGCACTGCCTCCACATGGTGGACAAACATGTTAGTCACATGCAAAAGAGGGTCATCGCCTAATAATAGGCTTGATTAGCTCTATTCATAGAGGACCATGTGCCCCATCACCTGACTTATTGGTTTGGCTGCTTCAGCTGTGGTTATTTGGTGTTTTGTTATGTGTATGTAGTGAGTGCAAGCGGGGTTCAACGTCCCCTTGTTTTTGTCTTTCCCCATTTGTGTTGGGTATTTGTTGAGGTATTTGGGTATCTGAGCTAAKCAAGCCTATTGTTAGGCGATGGCCCTCTTTTGCATGTGACTAACCTCTTTGTCCACCATGTGGAGGCAGTGCTTATAAGGCTGAGTTCACATGAAACTCATCATACTGAAGAAGTCTCTTGGGGGAGAGACAAAACATTTCACTAAAGAAAAACCCATCCAGAGGATTTTGATTTTAATAAAACCTACAGAAAATAATATATAATGCCTGACCAAAAAAAATTGCCACCAAAATCAAAGGTCACACAATTTAATATTTTGTTGGACTACATTTAGCTTTGATTCCAGCACACCTTCTCTGTGGCGGTTTCGATAAGCTTTCTTGACCTGACCAACTGTGGCAACCCCAGCTCACTGCCCCACAGGCTTGTGCAGTAGGCATTAGGCATGATGGGTACATCCTCGAAGACGATGGGTCCCCACTATCCTTCCAGTTTATAATAATGCGTTGGACAGTTCTTAACCCAATTTGGTAGTTTCAGCAATCTCCTTAAATGTTTTCTCTGCTTGATGCATGCCAGTGATTTGACCCTTAAACAGACTGACATCTTTGCCACGACCATGGGATATGTCTTTCAACATGGTTGTTTAAGAAATGAGAAGCAACTCACTGCACCAGTTGGGGCTGAATAACGTTACCAGCTGAAAGACTATCACCTATGCAGTAATTATCCAATAGGAGGCTCATACCTATTTGCTTAGTTAAATCCGGGCAACTTTTTTTTTGGCCAGTGTTCATCAGCTAATTAACTTTTAGAG